CTTACTTTCCAGGCGAAGCTCTCCACACTGATATGGTTCTCCCCTGTATGAATTATTTGATGGGAAGTGAGACTTGCCTTCCAGGTGAAGCTCTTTCCACATTCCAAGCAATGATATGGTTCTCCCCGTGAATTATTTGATGGGAAGTGAGATAGCTTTGACTGAAGCTTTTTCCACATTCCAAGCACTGATATGATTTCCTGCTATGAGTTTTTGATGGGAAGTGAGACTCCTCTTGGAATTGAAGCTCTTTCCACATTTCAAGCACTGACAGAGTTTCTTCTCAATGGGATTTTTTTGATGGGAAGAGGAATAGAAGCTCTGACTGAAGCTTTCTCCACACACCATGTAGTTATATGGCTTCTCCACTGTGTGGATTTTGCAGTGGTCTCTCTTGTTCTTAATTTCCAATTCATCAGCACCTGTGACAATAAGAGAAATGGATTAGAGCCTTAGGAAGAAACTGAGCCCCAGATTATTGAACAATGATAATCAATGCTTGTGAGAGAGAAAAAGAGAAGGGAGTTAGACAATTATTTATTTATTTATTCATTCATTTATTGATAATAATTAGTATTATTAATAATAATAATACCCTGCCCATCTAGTTGGGTTTCACCAGCCACCCTGGACAGCTTCCAACAAAATATTAAAATACAATAATCTGTCTAACATTAAAAGCTTTCCTAAACAGGGGTGCCTTCAGATGTCTTCTAAAAGTCTGGTACTTGTTTTTCTCTTTGACAACTGGTGGGAGGGCGTTCCACAGGGCAGGTGCCACTACCGAGAAGGCCCTCTGCCTGATTCTCTGTAACTTGGCTTCTCGCAGTGAAGGAACCGCCAGAAGGCCCTCTGCACTGGACCTCAGTGTCCAGGCAGAACGATGGGGGTGAAACACTCCTTCAGGTATACTGGACCGAGGTTCTGATTTGAAAGAGAGGTAGAGCTGGATATTATATGCATACTGATGAACACCCAGGTCTTACTACAAGGTTCAGTGTCTTTGTATTAACTGACATATTTATAGGAACCTGAGGTCAATAAAGCCTGACTCTTTTCTGGGATGGATTTTGCTTTGCCCAATCATGGATTCTTCTCCATCTCCAATGTTAGTTTTCTCTTGAGTCAACCAAAAACCCTGACAGAAGCTGTTTCAACTTTCCTAACAGCTCTGAAGCCTAACTGGAGGGAGAATATGCACAGACAAAACAGTTGATAGTCCTCCATTGGGGAGTTAGAATCCTTGATGCTGTAGATGGTGCTGTTGAGCTCCATCCAATTACTGGAGGTTTGTCACAATACTCAATATCAAAACAGAAATTATGAAGCAAGAGGGAGTCTTACTGAGAGAGTCCATGACCTCACGATTCTCCTCCATGACTTCCTTATGCAGAGCTCTCTGGTCAGGATCCAGCAACACCCATTCCTCATCTGTGAAATGAACAGCAACATCTTCAAAGCACACTGGACCCTAAAAGAAAAAGGTTGTCCTCTTAGACAGCATGAAGAATATAAACTGTACACTGCTCTGCTATTTTCTGCCTGTGAATTGCTGTGTTGTTTTAATTGGATGGGTTTGCTGCACATTTCAATTATGTGAGCTTGTTTTAACATTTTAATGGATTTTTTGTTGTCTATTTTAATGATGGGTATTAATTTTGTGTAATAGGGTGGAACTTCAAATCCTTCTCTCTGTGCAAGCATTCCAGCTTGCCAGATGGAAAGATCCCCACTCCACTCCCCAATGCGCTGTTCTTGGCGGCGGGGGGGCTCCCAATGCCCTAAAGCCAACTGCAAGGGGTGCATGGGGGCACAAGGAGTGGGAGGAAAGGGAGCTGAGCCCCATTGTGCAACTGATGTGGCTGGCTAGAGGACTCCTGGCCACTGCTTAGAAGCCTGTCTTAGCATTCAACAATAAATATATAAATAAAAGTGCAACAACATACCGTATTTTTCACTCCATAAGATGCACTTTTTTCCTCTTAAAAACTAAGGGGAAATGTCTGTGCGTCTTATGGAGCGAATGTGTGGTCCCTGGGGCTGGGGGCGGGGAACCCGGGCTTCCCCCACCAGCCCCCAAGCTCTGGGAGCGGAGGCAAGGCTGCGTGCAACCTTGCCGCCGCTCCCCGACCTGTTCTGGGGGCTGGGGTCGGGGGAAGCTCGGGCTTCCCCTGCCCCAGCCCCGTGGCTAAAAAACAAAGCCAAGGCAGCACGCAACCTCTCCAGCCAGGAGAGGTTGCGCACGGCTAAAAACGAAGCCAAGACAGCGAACCCGGGCTTCACCTGACAGCTCCAGAAGCCTGTCCGCTGCTCTTTGGGGCTGGGGTGGGGAATAAGATTTTTTTTCCCCCTCCTAAAAACTAGGTGCGCCTTATGGTCCAGTGCACCCTATGGAGTGAAAAATACGGTAAATAATACTAGCAACACTCGGAAACCTAGTTAAGGAGAGGTGGCTGTTGATTATTCACAGCACACAAATCTTCTGGAATGGCATGTTCAGACTTTGTTAAGGGCAGTTTCACAGCAGCAGGAGGAGGGGGAGAGATTCATTTGGGCCCGGAGGCACCCAGGCAGCCCCACCCCTCAGCCTCTTTCCCCACAAGGCTTCTTCCTCCTACTTGATCTGGTTCCACAGCCGCTGCTTCCCCTCCAGCACCATGAAAAGATGGAGGAGCATGTCTTGATGGCATCATTTGGTCACCTGTAAGTAAGAAGGCAAGTAGGAAGACACAGGTGCATGCTTCTCTCAGAGATCAAGCAGCACGACTCTAACTTCAGGTGGGCCTTACGTAAAGTCTTGCCTGCTGAGTGCATTTGGATGTTTGTACTCATTTCACATTTTCATGCTACAAAAATGGATCTCCACTCCTTGGGGTTCTTGGGACTCAGCTACACAGCCACAAATAAAAGGCTTTAAGTGTGTTTTCAGTGCAATATGCAATGTGACACTAAATGACGGTGGTGAGCCTTATGGAAAAGTCAATGTATTTTTTAAAAAGCATTTTCAGAACAGTTTTTATGTGTGTGTAGACTCCATGTTGGGCCCAAATGTCTTCCTCAAAAGAATTCAAAGAACCCATTATATTAGTTTCAAAATCAATAGCATGTGCCAAAATGTAGAAAGAACTCATCAGTCCTTACCCAACAGCCTCTCTCTGGTTTCCCACAGAGTCCTCTCTGAGGAATCCAAGCCCTTGTCTGCAAACAGTTCCTTTCCCTGAAAGAGCAACAAGGATTTAAAACAGGGAAGTTGGAGAAGTACTGGAAAAGGAATGGCAGAGGCATTTCTTGGATGCTTTCCAAAAAAGGATGGGATTTAGGGATGCTCTCCCTCATGTTTGGAGCCCCTTAGGAGCATCCAGAGGAAAGTCTCTCTCACCTGCTGCTCCGCCTGCTTCCTCTCCTCTGCCTGACTCAGGAGAAAACCTTCAGCCAGGGCTACTGCCTGGGAACTGGTCTCTGCTCCACATTCCCTCACCCAGCACTCCATCTCTAGTGGAAGGACAGCCAGGAACTGCTCCATGATCACCAGGTCCAGCATCTGAACTTTTGTATGCCTTTCTGGCTTCAGCCACTGACCATCAAGACGGTAAAATTGGTTGCAAACTTCTCGGGGTCCTTCAGTCTCCAGGGAACAGAGCTGCCTGAACTGCTGGCTCTGCACCTCTGAGCAGAGGGTGTCCTCCTCACCCAGGACCTTCTGCAGCGAGTTTCCCCAGAAACTCCCACTGCTCCCAGTTTTGATAGCATGGCCTCTTCCTGCTTCAGGGTCAGCTGAGTCTTGCTCATCCATTTGTGCTCTCATGAAGCCTCGCGGAGATCCCTTTTTCTTCTGCCAAGTTCTGTCTGTCCCAATTAGAAGCACTAGCAAGTCCTACAAAACAAGCGCATTGTTCTGTTATAAAATTGGTATACTGTCAGGAGAAGAAAAATGTTCCCTGAGTAAGCGTGGATGAGTCTTACTAGGAACCAGGGTTGGACTGCACCACAGCACAGACTCTGAGCTTTCTCTAAAAGAAAAAGGAAGACTTTAGCCCTCCTAGAAGTAATGTTGCCATACTAAATGTGCAGACAACTGAGGGCATTTCTGTGAGATGAATACCCCGCTTGTTCCTGCCTTTCAGTCAATGCATGAAGTCAGAACTGCGACTGACGAGTGAGTACCAAATGCATTGTGGACACTAGGCTGTGGTGGGGGTCCTAAACCTGGGGCCCTCAAAAGCTGCTCCCCGTCCTGTCCTCCCCCGCTAAACACACAATCCTTTCCTGTTTCTGTCTCATTTTCTAGCACTTGGAATCTCCAATGTTCTCAAAACATACTACTGGTGTGGGGTCTTCCCTTTTTTGTTCTGAGGGCCAGATACTTACCTGGCCAACCCCCTGAGGATGACGGGGGTAAGTTCAAAGCACGTGGGGGTGGAGCCAAGGGACAGCGCTAAAAAGCAAGTAAAGAAAGACTCATCTTATTTCTGAGATCGTAAGTTGTTTTAAACGGTTTTAATGTGGTTTTTAATGTTGTAATCTGCCCTGGGAACTGAAGGTGAAGGGTGGATTAATGATGATGATGATGATGATGATGATGTGTATGACAAAGCTTAACCCACACACAGCCATATATGCCTGGGGGTACTCCTGAATCCAGCAGGGTCACTTGAGGCTCAGGTGGCCTCAGGGACTAGCAGTGCCCATTTCCAGCTCTGGGCTAGTTTGCCATCTCTGTCCCTTTGGGACTGTGACGAGGTGTCCCTTGTAATCCATGCTCTGAATCAGATTGAATTACTGCAATGCCCTCTGTGTGAAACTGTCCTTGAAGAGAAGAAGAGGAGGAGGAGGAGGAGGAGGAAAGAAGAAGTTTGGACTTGATATCCCACCTTTCACTCCCCTTCAGGAGTCTCAAAGCGGCTCACATTCTCCTTTCCCTTCCTCCCCCACAACAGACACTCTGTGAGGTGAGTGGGGCTGAGAGACTTCAGAGAAGTGTGACTAGCCCAAGGTCACCCAGCAGCTGCATGTGGAGGAGCGGAGACGCGAACCCAGTTCACCGGATTATGAGTCCACCACTCTTAACCACTACACCACGCTGTAGGAGGACTTGGAAGATGGTCCAAAATGCAGTGACCAGATTATTGGCTAGCTGGTGGGCTCGCTCTCTTTATTAACTGTATTTATATCCCACCTTTTTCTCCAAAAAGCTCTACTTGGCTTACACCCCTCCTCATTTAATCCCCACAATGACCTGAGAACACATTTACTTGCTTTTTTAAAACTGCTGCATTGGTTGTGAGTTCATTTCTGAGCCCCATTCAAGGTGCTCACATTATCTGAAGAACCACCTCCTTCTCTAAAATACCCATTGGATGTTTTTGGATTGGGAGAGGTCTTGGTAGTCTCACCACGCTCAGAGTTTTGGAAGGGGGATGTCCCAAGAGAGGCATTCCTTGGTTGGGGAATTCCCTCCCACAGAGGCACATCTGACACCTTCCGCTATTCACCAAAGCCTCTGACACCGCAGACATGTGTTTACAGGACCACCCTATTCCTGTGACTGTATTTTGTTGATTTTAAAAATTGCTGTATCCCACCCTGGATAATAAATGGAGTAGTAGTAAAAATAGTGATAACAATAACAACAAGAACAGCAGTAACACACATCCTCAAGAAAGTGGGGAACTTGCCTGCTGGAATTTGCAGAGGTTTTGTTGCCCCTTGAGGTTACAGAAGAAAACACACACATCATCAGTACTTGGCTCAATCTGGTTGATCTAAATTTAAATGTAAACATAAATCATCATCTTCACTTTGAGCCTCCCTCCCACAACTCATCAATAGACCAACATTTCCATTAAGAATCACAGATTTGTAGAGTTGGAAGGGACCATGAGGGCATCTAGCATTCTTCCATTTGCAACATGAAGGGGGGGGGAGTTAACCTAAGAGCAACCACAAGCTTGCCTCTCTAGGAGTTTGGCTATGCTATGTTGCTTCTGTTTAAACCAATTCAGGAACCAAGGAATCAAACCAAGGAATCCTACGTTGAACACTCATAATGAAACATATATTGCAGATATTCCTGCAGATGTATTTTGCTATTTTTGTGATATACAAATGACATGAGAAGACTCCGTCTAATTATTGGTATCATTCATTACTTCTATTATCCTTGTTTATAAAGTTCAATAAAAAGTTATTCAAAGAAGAAAGGAAAAAGCACGCCCGGGCCACACCTGCAATGTACCTTCAAAGCAGAATCAGACCCCGTGAAAGAGCCATGGCTTCCAAAGAATCCCGGGGAACGGGGTTAGTTCGGAATGTTGGGACTTTCCATCCTCCTGCTGCAGATGTGCGGGACTGTTATATCGCATGCCTGCATTTACATTCCGGCCCTGATTGTGGGAGTCTTGTGAGGGCGGAGAGCTGCCAGGCGAGGTTCCCCGTCCCACCCCGGGGCTAACAACCCGTCCTTCTTGCCAGCTCGGAGGCCCTGCCTGCCTCCCGCGGGAGGGAGATCCATACTTCACCGCAGGAAGACGCGCTTCCTTTTCTTCCGACCGTCTTTCTCTACGGATTGCAGGGCTCAGGTGTTCATTTTTTGCCCAGATATTTATGTCCAAATGCTTCTGCCTGGCTTCCCCGTCTGTGAATCATCTGCTTTGTCTCTCGTCCTTTGCACGCCCGTTTCCCCGGACCCCGAGGAAGAGCCGCGATGCTCAGCTCCCTCCTGCCCTGGGGGTCCCCGCGCACCCCGGCTGCGGCCCCGGGACCGGCTCCCCCTCCCCCGGGGGAAGAAAGACTCGCCCTCCGAGGCTCCCGGGAGGAGAGAGAGCCGAGCCGGAAGAGACCAGCGAGGGACCTGCGCCCGCCGTCCTCTCTAGGAATCCGGCGCCAGGCCTTTTCACCCTTCGCTTGGGCTCGGGATGCCTTCCTCTCTTGTCCTCTCTAGGAATCCGGCCTTTTCACCCTTCGCTTGGGCTCGGGATGCCTTCCTCTCTTGTCCTCTCTAGGACTCCGGCGCCAGGCCTTTTCACCCTTCGCTTGGGCTCGGGATGCCTTCCTCTCTTGTCCTCTCTAGGAATCCGGCCTTTTCACCCTTCGCTTGGGCTCGGGATGCCTTCCTCTCTTGTCCTCTCTAGGAATCCGGCGCCAGGCCTTTTCACCCTTCGCTTGGGCTCGGGATGCCTTCCTCTCTTGTCCTCTCTAGGAATCCGGCCTTTTCACCCTTCGCTTGGGCTCGGGATGCCTTCCTCTCTTGTCCTCTCTAGGAATCCGGCGCCAGGCCTTTTCACCCTTCGCTTGGGCTCGGGATGCCTTCCTCTCTTGTCCTCTCTAGGAATCCGGCCTTTTCACCCTTCGCTTGGGCTCGGGATGCCTTCCTCTCTTGTCCTCTCTAGGACTCCGGCGCCAGGCCTTTTCACCCTTCGCTTGGGCTCGGGATGCCTTCCTCTCTTGTCCTCTCTAGGAATCCGCCTTTTCACCCTTCGCTTGGGCTCGGGATGCCTTCCTCTCTTGTCCTCTCTAGGACTCCGGCGCCAGGCCTTTTCACCCTTCGCTTGGGCTCGGGATGCCTTCCTCTCTTGTCCTCTCTAGGAATCCGGCCTTTTCACCCTTCGCTTGGGCTCGGGATGCCTTCCTCTCTTGTCCTCTCTAGGAATCCGGCGCCAGGCCTTTTCACCCTTCGCTTGGGCTCGGGATGCCTTCCTCTCTTGTCCTCTAGGAATCCGGCCTTTTCACCCTTCGCTTGGGCTCGGGATGCCTTCCTCTCTTGTCCTCTCTAGGAATCCGGCGCCAGGCCTTTTCACCCTTCGCTTGGGCTCGGGATGCCTTCCTCTCTTGTCCTCTCGAGGAATCCGGCGCCGT